GAACAGTAATCCAGATAGTGGGCTATTGGCATAAGGTGAGTCAAATTGATGTATTAAGCAAAATGATGATTCTGAAATAGACCCACACATATATGGAAATTTGATATCAATTGACTTATGAAAAGAAATTATTTTCAGTGAATGATGCTGGAACAATTGGATATCCATATGTGAAAAGAAAACCCATCACACATCGTATAAAAGATTCATCTGAGATGGATCATAGATTTAAAAAAAAATATTTCAAAACTATAAAGATTCTAAAGGAAAGCATAGGAGAATATGTTTGCTTTCTTGGGTTAACAAATGTTTATTAGATAGAACACAGAAACCAATAACTAAAGAAAATTGATAAAACAGATTTTGTCAAAATGAAAAACTACTTCTCATCAAAAGATGTCAATAACAGACAAGGCAGAGACCTGGAGAGAATATTGGATATTCATATCTCATAAAAGATTTGAATCCAGAATATAAAGTACTCCTACAACTTGGGGGAAAAAATAGTTCAGTAAATAAATGGACAAAGGACTTGAACAAACACTGCACAAAGAAAAATATAAAATGTCCAATGACACACAAAAAAGTGCTCAATATTCTTGGTTTTCAAGGAAATTAAAATTAAAATCACAATGAGATACCACTACACATACACTAGAATGATTAAAATCAGTATTCACATGATGACTGGTGGTGGTATAAAATAATACAACTCCTTTGGGGAAAGATAGTTTCTTTTAAATATTCATTTGCATATGGCCTAATAATTACCTTTCTGAATTTTTGCACAGGGAAATAAAAACTTGTTCCTAATAATTATATAATACTCATGACATCTTAATTCACAATAGCCAACAAATATAAATGTCTATTAAAAGGAGATTGAATAAATAAATAGTGATTTATTCATTCCATGAAATACTATTCAGGAATAAAGAGAATGAACTACTGATACATGCAACTATATCAATGAATCTGAGTCATTATGCTGAATGAAAGAAGTTGGACATTGAAGAATACATATTATTTGATTTCATTTACATAACATTCTAATTTAGGCGAAACTAATCTATGAAGAAAATCAAAAGAGTGGTTGCTTTTAGGGAGGCTTGAGTTGCAAGAACATAAGGGATCTTCAGCCCTTATGATATAATCCATATCTTCATAGGGCTGTGGGCTATAGAAGTATAACTCACCTCTAACCTCTAGAACTCTAACCCTCAAAGCACATTCAATTACAACTTGAAGATTTGTGCATTTCACTTTATGTCAATTTTACCTCAAAAAAGGAGATGTACACAACGATCGACTCTCATTAATAACTATGCTTTTCACTTGGTATAAGTTAGAAAAGCTGAAACTAACTTCTGTGTCTTCTAAGCTAAAGCAAAGAAATAAATACATTGAGAATAATGGAAGCCAGTTTTCTCACTGTCGAGGAGGTACAGGTACAGAAATGGCAACAACTAGAATGTACACACTCTTACTGGATTGAAATTGGAGACAGTATAAAACTATGGATGTATATGAAGATACAGAAAGATATACTTAATATGTGTATGTATACGTATATATGTAAGCTATCTCATGTGAGAAGGCCTAGAAGCAATGGCACACCCATAGTAATGAGCATACTTACGACCCAGATCTTGTTTTGTACATATCATTCAACATGAAAAGGAATCAAGGCTCTTTGTAGAAATACTTGATTCCAGGGCTAGGGAAGGAAAAGTTCAAGATGAGCCTGAGTTATCCCCATGCCAGAAAGTAAGGTAGTACTCACAGAATCAGAGACATGGCAAAATGACACTGAAGCCTTCTTCAAAGGACTTCTACTGGCTAAATGTGGGATAATTTTAGCAATAAAATAATGAGAGTAATAGATTATAAACCTTTAAATAAAATAAAAATCAATGAGTACATATTGATATAAAAAGATGAATAAATAAATTAATGGAAGAAGAGGGAAAGTTATTTCATATAATAGTATGCAAACTAATAAATATAGACAGAATAATGGAATTTGAAATTGTCAATTGATGCTAAAAGCAGTGGCTGGAAATTTGATGAGAAACAGATATTTATATTACATCAAAGCATCTTCCCTCATATGGCTAGTATGGGGACATCACCATAACCAACTGACAAAATTAACATTGTCAATATTGGGGTGAACTAGCATCATGTGTCTCCTAATGTGATGTATTAGGAAACACAGAGCATCCCTTCAGCGGTGCACCTGACATAATGTGAATCTAATTATTAGGAAAACTCAGAAAACCCCAAATTCAGGAATATTCTTCCAAAAAAATAAAAAATAAAAACCTACACTCTTCAAAAAAATTAAGATCAAGCAGCAAAAACAAAGCTGAGGAATTGTTCCAGATGAAAAATGACTAAAGAGATATACTATCAAATCCTAAAGGTGATCATAGACTGGATCTTAGACTGTGAAAAAAATCAATATACAAATATTGTGATAATCCATAAAATGTCATTTAAGTAATAATGTATGGATGTTAAATTTCCTAATTCTGATAACTGTTCTTTGGTTTAAAAGGTGTTTCTTTGATTTTAGAAAATAGACATGGAAGTACTTAGGGGTAGTAAGGACCATGATGTCTCCAAATTACTCTTACTCTGTAATGGTTAAAAAGTTCTTATACACACACACACACACACACACACACACACACACACATAGTGAAAGAGAAAGGAAATGGCAAAATTTAAACAGTAGGTGAATCTGGGCAGGTAGATAGGAGTTCCACGTTTTATTCGTGCAACTTCTCTGTAATTTTGATATATCAAATTAAAAAGAAACAAAGAAAGAAAGAGAACTTAGAAGACTTCTACAAAAGTGGATTGGTAAATTTAAAGCTACACCTGGTTGATAAATGGGACTGATTACTTAGGAGAGTGGATTTTTATAGAAGGGCTGTCTTTTTCTTGAGTAGTTACTTCTCTGTGATACAATCAGAATAATTTCAAGGGGACTCACAATAAGGATCCCAAAGCTACCTGGACATTATGTTCGTGCTAACGACAAATTGGCTCTCACTGCAAATAGCAAATCCTTTCATTCAAAAGCCTCCTTCACAGAAATTTTCTTCACATCTAGCTGACTACCCCACATCCTGCTTTCCTAAAATAGGTCATTCGTAAAGCTTAACTCTGTGATTTCCCCCCAACTCTCCATATCTTTACATCATACTCAAGATACTCTGTGCCATCCACTATCCTGAACTTCTTCGTTCCTCAGAAGAAAAGTTGTTCCTTTTTCCAAATGCAACTTCCTTCTTTCCTAGAACAACCCTTTTCCTCAACTACTGATCTCGTCCTGCCTGGCCTCCTAAATAAAGATCTCACATTGTCAAGAAGCTCCCAAGCCTCTCCCTTCCTTTGGCATCTTTACTCTAGCTCTCATTTCTGTTGATCCCTGTTGCATATATATAGGTACATATATGGTACATATCTATTGGTATATATACAGAGAGAGTTTCGGTTATTTTTCAAGGTAAGGATATGACTATATACGTAGTGCGTGGACTGGTGCCACAGAAGTGCCTCGTCTGCTGTCCTTCCCAGGGCAAGAACTGCCTCCAGTCTCAACAACATTATGCCCTGACGCAGGAGGTGGGCAGCAGGCATGGTTCTCCTCTGAGAGTCAGCTCTCCTTTTCTTAAAATGTGTAAACAATTTATTTATAGGAGTAAGAATGTTCTCACACCGTTTCTTTATTTCCTCTGCAGTTCTCTGCCAAGCAGCCTTCCACGGTGTCTGGGACTGAGGCCACCCCTTTCAGTTCCATTGAGTGTCTCAAGAACCAACCCCATCAGCTTCTCCTTTTCATCCCTAACAATCCAGGTGCACAGATGTACTCCCCCTTCCTCTGTGCACCCGCAACGCACATACGACCTCTCCACTCCCCAGCTTGGCTTCACTGTCTTCTGGTCTTGGTGCTGCTGAAACTGTCACCCAGATCTTGAATCCTGACCCTCCCTCAGCTGCAAGGCCGGGGAGCCCCAGCCGGAGATGGCCAGCTTGAAACCTCTAGCCAGAGCTCCTTTCCAGGCCACATGCCAAGGGCCAGCATGGTTGACATTTGCCTCTCCCTGGAGAGAAGCTCTGCAGCCATCCCCTGTGCGGAGCTGCGGACCTCAGTGTGCAGTTGCGTAGAAGCCTGGAACATTTCATTGCTAACTTTCGTGGGGACTCCTTCCTGACTGGGATATCTGTGGGCACTGCGTCACCCTCCCTGTCAGGACTATTCTGGGGCTTGCTCTTGGAAACGAAGTCTGTCTTACGTACTGAATACCCCCATAAGGAATATCTGGGGCCATTTGTCCATCTTTGGCTGGGCTACTTCCTAACACTTCTCTGGATCTTGTACCCGTTCTTCCTGCATTGCTCAGGGATTGAGTGCTACCTTTACCTATTTGCCAAAGTGTACATTCTAGTGTGGTGTACACTGACGGGTGTTTATTGATGATGTCATAATTTTGTTTTTTACAATTTTCTCTGTAGACTAGGGTAAGAAGAATTGCTTGTGTTTTTAGGAAGTGTGATGCTTTTCTTTGCCTGTCAAACTCTTTTATGAAATATATCTTTACATTAATGCAAATATATATACATATTATACATGTATATATACGTGTAAATGTAAATAGTCATATCCTTACCTTAAAAATTAACCAAAACCCAAAACAAAAATATCCCTGAATGTGTTGTCTCTTTGAATGATCTCTTCTTGTGCCTCTTCCATTTAGCGCTGTAACCTCCCCACCCCTCCACATAGTTGGGTTTTTTTAAGGTTTTATTTTTTTATAGCAGTTCTGGGTTTACAACAAAATTGAGAGGAAGGTACAGAGATTCCCTAGAACCCCTGCCTCCACACATGCATAGCCTCCCTTATTATCAACAGCACTCACCAGAATGGTACATTTTTTACCAAGAGTAAACCTACGTTGACACATCATACTCACCCAAAGCCAACGGTTTATCTTAGGGTTCACTTTTAGTGTTGTACATTCTATGGGTTTGGACAAAAGTATAATGACTTATATCCATCATTACAACATCATATAGAGTATTTTCACTGCCCTAAAAGTAATCTGTGCTCTGCCTATTCATCTTTCTCCCCACAAATAAATGGTTTTTGAATCAATGTGTTTACTATGTTCCAGGTTGTTTACCTGCATTAACTGATTTAATCATCACCATACACCCCAGAGTTCAATGCTGCTATTAATCTCATTCTACAGAGGAGAGAAATAGAAACTCAAAGAAATTAACTAACTTTCCCAAAGTCACGTGGCAAATTAGGAGAGGAGGTAGGTTTTGAACGAGGAAGTCTGACTCCAGAGTTTATAGTCTTAGTACATTATGTTCTACAATCCTAAATTTTTTTACTGCTTGCAATATGATTTCCTCTCTCAGTGCAGAATTGGAAAAATTGGGCCGGCCCTGTGGCTTGGTGGTTAAGTGCGCGCGCTGCGATGCTGGTGGCCCGGGTTCGGATCCCGGGTGCGCATCGAGGCACCACTTCTCCGTTCATCCTGAGGCCGAGTCCCGCATACAGCAACTAGAAGGATGTGCAGCTACGACATACAACTATCCACTGGGGCTTTGGGGGGAAAAAAAATAAAAATAAAAAAATAAATAAAATCTTTAAAAAAAAAAAAAGAATTGGAAAAACTCTCCTAAAGCTGACCATAGCTTTTCTTATTGTCCCAAGGGCTTGACATTGTTAAGAAAGAATATAATATCGTAGTTTAAAAGCTTAGCTACTAGAGCAGGAAAGAAATGATTTTGGATCCCAGCTTCCATACTGCCTAGTGGTGTGATTTGTGCATTGACCACTCTAAGTCAGTATTCTTTTTCTGTATTGAATGGGACTAAAAATAGAACCTACCTCATATGGTTTCCTGTAAGAATTTCACCAAAGGTGGCATGCATAATAGAATGTTAAGCACAGTGCTTAACACCGTTAATATTTGCCACATTTAGGTTTCAATAAATGGTAGCAATTTTTCATGAGTAGACTTTTCCTTGCTTTCCATGCACTATCTTGGTTCATTTATTTCTTCACTGATAAATCTTTATGGCTCCCAGGCCCCTCTTCCTCATAGAAACCACAAAATCCTCTTTGACTCTGTCTCCATACATACTTTATCTCGTATTTCTCATCCACAAACATTGCTAAAGCTATCACATTTTTGTAGGTGTCTCTGAATCGGTGTCTTGGACTCCCAATGCTCTCTAACCTTCAGAACTAATTCACCAATTACATGGTGTTAGTTATTTTCACCTTGCAGCCTCTACAATGGCACATAAATTCTCTGACAAATAGTTTTGACCCTCTCCATGTCCATCTATCTCTTTATTCTTTGCTCATTTTCTCACACATCATTTTGAACTGTCCTTTCATCTTTATTATCACTAGGAAGATCGATGAGAATATGACCAGTTGCTAAGCATGTTGCTAACTTTTGCTGTAAACTGGGCCTGTTGAAGGTGTAGGCAGTAATCAAGTTCAGGCACATGTGAGTTGGGAATGTAAGTGGCACAGAGTGTCAAGAAGGCCAGTCCAAATATGGAGAAGACGGGTAAGTCGTGGGCATAGAGATGCAGGTTGGGCAAGATGTGAAGAAGGCAGAGATTAAGATATGGTTGCCATTAAGATAAGGTTGGCAGAAAGATAGCACCCAAGGGTCAAACATAGCTTGTCAAGAGGCAAGATGATATTCTGTGTAGTTTATCAGGTAGAAATTTGTTCTTAACATTGTTTAAAATTTAATTCTTTCTGAGATGTTTTATTCTCTAATCTCTCTTCAATTGATTATATGTTAGACTTTGATTCACTTATTTTTAGGAGGTTAATCATTTTATCCTGGTAGGTCACTATAGGCCTGGGGAAGCATTATATCCTCTCCATTATCACTCTAAGAAGTGTGGTCTTATGCCATAGTTTAGACTTTTCTAGTATATCTAAGTCTTGGTGTCTGGGGATGGGAAGAAGACCAATCATTAGTGTTATGGGCTGAATGTGTCTGTTCACAAATTCATATGTTAAAAGTTTAACCCCCAGTACCACAGAATATAACTGTATTTGGAGGGTCTTTAAAGAGATAATTAAATTAAAATGAGGGCATTAGTGTGTGTTCTAATCCAATATGATGGTGTCCTTATAAAAAGAGGAAATTTGGACATAGACAGGTTTGGGGAAGATGATATGAAAACATAAGGAGAAGATGGCCATCTATAAGACAGAGAGAGAGACCTTCCATCATGGCCCTCGAAGGAACCAACCTTGCTATACCTTGATCTCAGACTTGTAGCTTTCAGAACTGTAAGAAAATAAATTTATGTTGCTTAAGCCACCCAGTCTGTGGTAATTTGTCATTAACAGCCCTAGTGCGTTTCCCATTCTATGGGTAAATGATCTTTAATTGTGATATCATTCTGAAGTTTCATACTAGAAAAAAAATACAAACGTGATCAAATTTTATATAATACAGAATTACACAGAATTAAAAGATCTCCTGCATCCCCCCTTCCTCCAGAACCTACTTTTAGTCAAAAATATGAATAATATGCTAATATTTAAAATTATGCTTTTTTTTTCCATGTATTTTTATTTAAAATATTTAAGGAAAATAAACCTGTTGGTTTGTGTAATTTGACACATGACTATTATATGAAAAGGCCAATACATTTTTATCACAAAATATTTTGTTTTGATTTTTTTCCTTTTTTTTCTTTAAATTTTTTGTTTATTGCAGTAACATTGGTTTATAACATTGTATAGATGTCAGGTGTACATCATTATACTTTTATTTCTGCATAGATTACATCATGTTCACCACCCAAATACTAATTACAAACCATCACCACACACATGTGCCTAATTATCCCTTTC